TACACGACCGGAAGAATGAACGCTGCTCTGATTGAGAAAGACCTACAAGCCTGTGAACAAAAACTGCAACTTTCCTGGACACTTCAACCATCTGGACATGCCATCAATGACCTGAGGGTTGTTGTTCTCAGGCAGCAAACGTTTAAAAACTGAGTTGAACAGGAAATTGTGGAACAAGAAATCATCCACAAGCTGGATTGTGTTACATATGGTTTAAACAGACCAGGGATTCTTATCCCATTACTTGTGACACCTGTGGTCTTATGAATTGACTACTTCGTGTTTGTTTGCCTTCCCCAGCACTGCCCTGCTCCCCGCCCCCCGCCCTTATCTTTGGTATTTTAATTTCCCTTTATACACTTTTCTGCACTGTTTTTTCACAGCATCTGATGAAGTGAGCTTCAGCTGACCAAGCTTGTGCTATCTGTCTCTATATGTCTCTCTAATCTTATATATTTATGTGTATCTATTTTGGCTAGACTATAAGGTGCAAATCTACTCTGCTGTCACCTTGACTTTGGACTCTGCTTAAGGAAGGGCAAGAGGCAGCTGCCCTCCCCGCCTCCCCCACCCGGGTTAGGAGGAATCGTTCCCACATGGGCATGAGGGGTTGAAACACCCATGCTGACATTTTTAAACCTGTTAATCTGAAAAGGAGGGAGCAACATGAGAAGGGTTTTTTTATCTAAAATCTCTTTAGCAGAGGAGAAAATACTGCCCCGGGGGTGGAGTTGCCCACCCTCTATGCACTGGCAGTGGTTTGTTCCAGAGGGGCAGTTGTGGCAGTTGTCCCAGCACCCCCTCCACTTGCCCCCTCAGCCCGGGGGAGGGGGCGGGAGTGGCGGCGGCAGGGGATTGGGGCTGCACAGCCCTGGTCTGAGGACTCAACCCCTCCATCCATGGCAGGGGTGGGCAGAGCTGGGGTGGTTTGTCCTGTCACCATCGGGGCAGACCCCAGGGGAGAAGGGAAAGGCTCCCTCCCTCAGCCTGGCGCAGCCCTGCCTGGGCACAGAGGGCTCGACTGCCCCACACAGATGTGAGCTCTTCTCCCCATGCAGCTCAGCCCCGGGGGGGGAGGCAAGGGCTGCCCTTGGGCTGGGAAACCCACCACAGTGCTCTGGTTCTGCCCCAGGCTGTGGGGTGGGGCATTTGGAGGGGCCGTGGGGCAGGGGATGGGGCAGAAACAGCTGTGATTAGAGGAGGGGCAGTTTCTGGCCAGCAATATCTCCCCTCAGCCTGGCCCACTCGCAGTCAGGGTGACTCCCGGTGCCCACTCCTGGCTGCCCCTTTCCCTCCTGCCGACAGAGGTGGCATCTTCTCTTCGTGCTGGAAAACAAAGCTGAGTAATATTGTCTTCATCTAAATATGGGGTTTTCAGCAAAAGAAACGTTTTTAGAGGTTATTTAGGATTTTTTTGGTGAACAAAATCCAAGCTGTCTTTACTAGTTTTCAGTGTAATGATGGTTCTTCAACTTAGTTTTCAGTGAACTATTTCCTCTATGCTGAAGAGGATCTCATTTCTCAGAGACAGACCAAAATTAAGTCTCTTTCAGTTGAAGCCACTTCCAACCTTTTGGGTTCCGGTTTTCTGGAAAGTACTTTTTTTTATGGAAGATCCTTCTTGAAAGCCAAGGAAAAGGTGGGAGGAGGGTGAGATTGCCCCAGGCATTTTCCTGGAGTTCAGGATTTCTGTCAGAAAATGTTCAGAGGAAATGTATTGAAAATTAAAAGGCAGCTTTCATGTTCTCAATCAATTCTCCCTGTTTGTGAGCAGTAATTCAAGAACAGCTTCCCCCCCTCCTTGCTGGCCTTGCTACCATCTGTATTGGAAAGTTATCCCCAACACACGCTGGTAATTTGTTGGATTGCTTGTTTGCTGCTGTGGTTTCCTTCCCAGCAGGTAGAGAACCAAGTCCTGCTATTTGGAAACTACTGTCAGTTGTTTAAAACCTCATCCATCTCCTGGTTCGAAGGCCTGTACAGAAGCCTACCATGACATCCTGCTCTTGCCTCTTGACTTTACCCAGAGGCTTTGAACAGGCCAACTTTCCACTTCCTACCATGCCTCTGAACATGCATGCATCACCTTCAAATATAGTGCAACACCCTTTTTCCCCTGCCCGTCTTTCCTGAATAAGCTATACCCATCCATGACCATACTTTAGTCACATGAACTATCCCACTAGGTCTCTATAATCCCAACTGTATCATCACAATTCTGTGAATCTTCTGTTTTTCCTCACACTTCTCACTTTAGTATATAGGAACTTCAAGTATCTAATATAGTTGGGGATCATCCTGGTTTGAGCAGGGGGTTGGACTAGATGACCTCCTAAGGTCCCTTCCAACCCTTTTTTGATTCTGATTTTCCTATTCTCTTCCAGAGCACTGCTAAGGCTTCTGCTGTTGCTTCCCTTTACTAAGTTCTTATCCAGGGCCCCTGGCTCTTAACTCATCTCTTCAGTTTCTGTTTCCATCCCCCAGTGAATCTAACTCCCATCCCATTTCCCTGCTTCCAGTATTGTGATGAATTTGCCTGGTATGATCATAGTGAACTCATGGAGACAAGACTTCACAGCAGCCACGTTAAAAACTTTGTTGTTTTTATCTGGATCCAAAGGAACAAAGTGAAGAAGCAGGGTGCTGGCTGCTGTGGTTCCCTGCTTTGCCTGTGGCAGGTTAGTCTTGCATTGCAACAGGGTTGATGGCAGTTTTAGAAAGTTTAGATGGATTTGTATAGGATGGTTTGGATAGGGATGAACCTCTCAGGCAGGTGGCTGGACTACATGTGACCTGCCCCACTTACGTTGTCTCTTCCAGCCCCACTTATGATTTCTATAATTCTAGCAGAAGTTGTCAGGAACTCCCCTCCTACACCATGAAGTAGGGGAGCCACAAAGTGCTTGATCCTTCTG